AACTTTTGGACCTGTACTGTTCTTAATCTGACTGATTGAACTTTTTAATGTATTTCTGTTCTTATTGTTTCCATCATTGATCACTAATCAATGGACAGGTTTTTCAAATTTCGGCTTGTAAGTGAAAATATTGGGGAGGCAGTATTTTGTACAATTAAATGTACCTACAAGAAAAAGAAAATAATAAAAAATTAAAAAATATATTTTAAAAGGAATTGAATGTAATATTTTTGTTTAATAATTAAAATATTTAAATTTTTGCTAAATCTGTTGTTCATATTTATTTAATTTACGGTTGCAAATTTCCTTCTTATCATTTTGCATAAGAGTACATGATCAAGCAGAAAACAAACACTTTTACTCATGCGGCTGTCCCACATTCTTTTCAAAAATAGAAATCTAATCTGCGAATCTTAGGAACAAAGTGGCGCCTGATACCCAACAGGTATATGGCGCACACACACACACACACACTCACACAATATTGCACAGTTTGATGCTGTAGATTAATCATTTGGATAACTAACGCGATTGGTATGTGCAAACAAATTTATTTGTCAATTTACGAGTTATTAATAGATTTTTATTACGTGAGCTTATGAATGAAGTCTTATCAAAAAAAAATTTTTGATTTTAAGAAAGCGTATTTTTCTAAATCAAACTGGTTGTTTATTTGTTTTTGTTGTTTGTTTATTTATCATGGACCTTTTTAAGATTTCATTAAATGAAAGCAAAATTTAAAAACAAAAATTTTTACAGGATGATATAACAAGATCAACCACTGAAGCACCAAGCTTTTAATTATATTACTTGTTTTAAACTTCATAAAATGATAAAAGGAAGAAATTGTACAAAACGATTTTTTGTCTTAATTAAAGCTTTAGTTTTCTTTTATCAAATCCTAATAAATCTAATTTTATTAAAAGATTTTAATGATGGAAGTACTAAAATTTTTAAATAAACATAATAAAATGCGTATAAATCCATATAAATTACCTATGTTATGACTTTATTTTAAGAAGATTTTTGAGACCATAGGTTGGAATATTCTTGAATAAAATTTAACTTATTTTCTGTTACCATACAAAATTTGTGGGTTAGTTGCCTTTTGCAGAACTACGTCAATTTAAATATTTTGTAGTACTTTAAAATTAATAATAAATCCATTAGAATAGGGTTGTCACATTTTACACGCAGTGAAAGAGTAGTTTATTATACTATTTTATATTACAATAGATACTATATTAATAGTAATACGCAATGAAAACAGATTCAATAAAATACATAGCTTTAGTACTGTGGAAAAATGTTAAGGTAGAAAAATCGAATTTATGCCTGGATATCATAAAAAAACATAAAAAAATAATTTCCCCCTGAAGAATTGTTTCAGGATCCGACCCTAATAAAGCAACTAATAGCAATAACAATTTTGTATAAAAGATCTAAAAATTGCCATTTCGCAATTTTTCTTAAAAAAAGGAAGTTGTTTTTATTTTACCTCCTAAACCCACGAACCTTACTTCAAAATAAAGATAAATTTAAAGGACACTACACATCATTGCAATACAAGTACCTTTAATTATATTACATATATGTAATGTATTTATAAAAATTATATAGTAGGTATAAGTAATTATACCGCATATGAAATTACCCAAGTAGAATTTTTAGTGGATGAAACGTATCGTAAAGTGTATTGCCAAAATCTCTGCCACTTGGTAGAAACGGTTCTATTACGTGAAAGTGTCAGTTACGTTCCAACAACGTTCTTGGATTGTACACAGACACGTTTATAACACGTTGTGATTACCTTACTATAACGAGGAAGCATACTGGCAAAAACTTAAGCAAAACTTTACTACTCCTTACTTTCTATCCTATTATTTTTGCTTTCTATGAAACTGGACATAAAACTGACCCTGAATACAAAAATTATCATAATGTAAGAATACAACTTGCAAATAATAATAACTAGAATTAAAATAATCCAAAGACATAAAATTAACACGAATAAAATTTTACTGTCAAACATGGGTAATGAAAAAAATATATAAAAACTTCAATAATCAAATATTTTTTTTTTATATTTCTGGTCACCTGAAACCAATTTAATTTATCTTTTTGATCTGTCATATTTACCATTTTCTATTGTCATTCTATGATTAATAAATTATTATTTATAATTATCTATTAACGTGTTAAATTTGGTGCGGTACTAACCAGAATTATTTGTTTAAAACTACACATTTATTTGGCAACTATTTTTAAACATGTCTACTTTGAAGAAGAAAACTTTAAAGTGGTAATCCTATGCAAAACGTAAAAATAACTTAAGCATGTAGCAAGAACGTGGCAATGACCACCGCAATTATATAATCAAGTTCTGCCACATTCAAGGTTTGGGAAAAGTTCCGAAAACGTTGCCAAAACTGGTATACCCACTTTACTACTACTAATACCATTTCAAAGTAATACTTGAGTGATGTGGTTTGGTTGCCGTTACTCTTTATAATCCACTTTAAAGTCTAGACAACTTTAAGGTGGTGTAAAAAGTGGTCATATATATACTTATATTCCGTTGGTGCAATTCACATGATTACAACTATGATAATATAATATGAAGATATTTCAACTCTATCTTGGTGGATTTAGATATTTTAACGTAATTGCCACTTATTTGAAGTTGCGATATCAGTTTTCGTCACTATAATGCTACTTGAGTAAAGAAAGGAATTAATTTTTAAATTATAAAATAAACAATTCCTATATTTTGGGGGAAACGCTCTAGCGCGCTGAAACAAACAAATAATACTACTTGCCATATCAAAATTGTATTTAAATTCGTTATTAAAAAATTAATACTTAATACTATACTCAGGGGCGGATCCAGAAAAATATTTTGGGGGGGAAGGGGTTGATTGCTTTTTTGTTGACTTTACAAACGCATATCGACTGTATTTGTTCTCGTCGGTTTAAAAAAAAAATCGAAAGTCATTTTTGTAATTTTTAGTCACAATTAAATACATACTCGTCGTCCTATTTCTTCTTCTTCTTCAATCTGAACAAACCAGATTATATCTGTTTTGGGGTAAAGCATACTTAAAAGTTATTTAGCCAGTTAATTATATTTTAAAAATATTTATTATTAATATAGGTAATACATATATTATTAGGGTGCTTTTTTTCACGACTATTATTATTTTTTCGCTCCCAACTCAAAATCTTGTTGAAAATGTTAAAAAAAAAATCCTGAAAATTTGAGCCCTTAATATTAACTCAAAAATTTCCCATTTAAAATACACATAAACTTTGATTATTTTTTAAATATCTATATTTCAGCCGCATTTTATGCTATTGGATTGTTTTAAAAAGGGATTTACTCGTAATCAAAAGTTCTACAAAAATGCTTTATTTGCCATATCTGTAATCTGCACCTGTAGGATGGTACGGGTCACTAAATCTTATTTTAGTGAAAAATTCTCATATTTTTAAAGATATTTCAAAAGTGACTGGATTCTTTGAAAAAAAAAACTGGACAAACTCGTAGAAAATTTAATTTTCTTTAAAAAGGTCTTATCAGTTGAATCGCTAAGATTGATATTTGTTGAGATATAAAGCGTTTACATTGACATTTTATGAAATTTTCAGGATTTTCGTACCAAACTTTTTAAAAATGATGATTTTTAATCGTACACTTTCATGTAATTACGTTTTTTCTACATTCGGGTGATTAAAGAAAAATAAATAACTAAAACAATCAAGCATCATTATTAATAAAATAATATGTTGTATGTAATACACCTCGTTATATCAATTTTTAGGTTAGATATATCATTTCTCTTTAAAGTTATGATATTAATAATTATGCTTAATTTTTTGAGTTATTTATTTTTCTGTAATCACCCGACTGTATAAAAAACGTAATTAGATGAAATTGTACTGATTAACAATTGAAAATCATCATTTATAGAAAGCATAAAGCATTTTTTGTAGAACTTTTGATTACGAGTAAATCCCTTTTTAAAACAATCCAATAGCAAAAAATGCGGCTGAGATATAGATATTTTAAAAAATAATCAAAGTTTAAGTGTATTTTAAATGGGAAATCTGTATACGCTTTGGTAAAGTACTTTGAGTTAATATTAATTAATATTAACTCAAAGTACCCTTAAGGGCTCAAATTTTCAGGGAATTTTTTTTGAACATTTTTAAGATTTTAAGTTGGGAGCGAAAAAATAAAAATAGCCGTGAAAAAAAAAGCACCCTAATAATATATGTATTATATTAATAATAAATATTTTAAAATTTTAACACTACAGTTTTACATTTTCTGATTTTAAACCTGTAATTCCAAAATTTTATGATAACAGTTTATTTATACATATAAGTCTTTAAATATATGTACCAAATTATATTATATTCAATTATATTACGTGTCACGTAATAAATTGCACAAATTAAATAAATATTTTAATTTTAATCTTATTTTGAAGTAAAATAATATGTTTGTAATGTACCTTTTGGATTGCTACATTAGTAAGTTTATGTATTTATTTTTTTTAGTAAAACCGAGAAAATATTTGCCATGTCTGATCAATATAGAGCTATAATATATTAAACCTGAATTTACAAAGCTTTTTGTCGGTACTTACCTTAAATTTAAAGGAATTTCCAAACGTGACGATAGAAGGCGTAAAATAAAACTGCAGGTTTATAACAACTAACATTTATGTGAGTACTAATACTGTATCACAGTTGGAATTCGAGATATTTTTTCTAACATCATAAATATAATATCAATTGCAGTCTAAAATTAAATAAGTAAAGATATGTACAACCTATAAATTAATATAAATAAAATAATTAATTTAAGAGTTTAAAAAACTGCATAATACTTTCATTTCGTTGTCCTGAAGTTAAAAATCATTAGTAATAAATAGTTACATTATGTACAATAAATAAAAAAAATAAATACAAAATTTTAAATACAATAAATAAAAATTGGCATTTGCACAATACCTAAAGTACTAGACTACGAATACTGATAGTTAGACTGATTTTACGATTCCACTTTTGGAGCCTTCGAAAAATAAGTAAACAATTCACTGGTATATTCCAAAGAATTCATGAATTCCCTGTAGATAATCCAATTTCTTATAGTTCCATCGGATGTGTTTACGTTTCTGGCTTCTTCAGTCATAATACTTCTGTCAACATCGGTTACGACAAGATTACGATACCGAATCATCTCATGAATCTCGCAAAGAAGATTTTTAAGGTTCTGCTCGACAGAGACCAAGTCTTGATGTATGGGGGAATTTTGTTTTTCCCACACCAGTTGTTCCATACTCACTGCAGAAGTCTGGAGGATCTTGTATATATCCAATAATGCTTCATCAAACTGTAACAAAAAATACATATTTTATATTGGAAACTGGGTTTTTAAGTTGGGTTGCAAAGAAGATTGTGAAATTATGTTTTTATATTCATTCAATATTTACCTCCAAAGCTTTAAGTGTCTCCTGTGGTACAGATTGGCTGTACTTTTTGGGCAACTTGGGTAACCATTCCTCCATTTTTTCCAATTCTATGTTATCGAAAGCGGCGGTATTAACTGGGGCTTTGAAGTTGTGTTTTACCTGTAACAAAAATTATAACATAAAACAAAACGCACTTAATTAAATAAAAATTATATACAAAAAATAAGTAAAAGATAAAAATCGTAGTGTCTGCGAGTATAAAATGTATAATATGTAAATAAAAGATTTATACCCTGTCATAGATTAATATTATGAAAACAATTAGTATGCGTGATTAGTATTGTATTATACCCGTACGTTGATGTCTGATTACACACTATCATATTTTTCGTCTCATTCACATATAAATAAAATGTATTTTATTGTCTTGCTCTATCGGATACAAATAACTTGCGTCTTTGTCATATCCGGCCAATCGTGTCCGTTTTCCTATTACTTTAATAACTATTGTTCGGACGACAGCCAATTTATTAAAAGGAAACGAGTGCAGCACATAAGGACTAATAAAAAATATTTTATTTCTATTCGTTATCACTATTTATATACCAAAGACCGCATAAAATGAGAGTCGCCAAGCAGTCTGGCTGGCTTATCAATGTAGAACAGCTGAATATAACAAATGTAATCTAAGCTAACTTGGTTCTCAAAATATTCATATCAATGTTTAACCACCTGTCTTAACAAAAATCACAGATTCTTTAGAGGTTAGTGTACCCTTAGAAGTATTTGCTTAATGGGTAAAAATATGAACTTATATGAAGTTTAAAAAAATACTTACAAATTCGTCTTTAATATCTGCCGCTAGATCTCTGGTGGTATGTGCTTGCATGATGATGGCTTGGAAAATTTCGCTGTCGGAGGACTTGGTGGAGATGCTGGAGGCAACTTCTTTCCCGCAGGGGTTGATCCATTTCGGTACTTCATTTGGATGGAACATGCTTAAAGGCGCCGCTAACGATGTGGGAACGGCGATGAGGGTCAAGTAGGCACCGAAGATTAGGAAGCGTTTTAATCCTGCAATTAAAAAGAAAACATAAGAAACAAGAATAAGAAGAAAAATATTTGTCGGCAACGACACATGCTATATAAATAAATACACAAGATTGTGGACATACTTGACAAAGGGCGCCAGAGCGTGAGAATGTGACCTCGTGGCCGGTTCAACAAGTAAAGCAAAGACAAAATGACCCATGAATATATGACACATACACTAATTTTAAGTTAAATTTATTTATGTGTAGTTTTGTGTTTTTGTATCATAAACTTTAATATCTAAACCTGTCGTCTATTTTGGTATGACAATCAGATAAGGAAATATTCTCTTAAATTAATTTGAAATATTTTACTCAACCACCCGAATGCCTGTGTAAATTGCCTGGTATAAAAGTCGGCAAGAATAAAAGTTATAATTTCAAGTGTAAGTGTTACTCAATAAAAATAAATTATTGACATTGGAAATTGTGTTTTTCTGTGCAAAATGCTTTAACCTCAGCGTGGAGTTTATTCATTCTTGGAAACAGTTTGTTAGTTTTATGGCTGCCAACTATCCAAAATATGCAAAGGTAGATTTAAAATTAAAGAAAAACTCGATTTATTATTAAATTATATACTATAAGGACATTCTCGAGTCAAGATTTTGCAACAAAACATAATCAAAGATCATTTAAAACCAGGTGTAGATTACTTGATCTATTTATTGTTAAGCAGTAAGAATGAACTATGAGATTCGTTTACCGCGATAATAGCTATTAATTGCAAGATATTTAACTTAATGCATCATTCCAAAGTATTTACCACATTTTTGTAAACTTATATTGTAAGAAAAACAACTTAAAGACAGTTGCACAGGTGTACCGCCTAGCATTCTATATCCTTTTTAATAATTTAAAGTAGCAGAATGTTCGCTGGGAAGAACTGTAGTTGAGTTAATTACGGTTTTTGCAAAAAGCAAATAATTAATCGCACAGAAAAAATCGTGCTAACCACGAAAATACCAATGAAGCGTGAGTCAAAAAATTTTCCGTGTTTTATCTATTTAAATTCCATGAATCACGTAATAATTGGGCGAATCGATTCGAGATCAGCTGAAAAAATCAACCTAGAACGGAATTCCGAGTTCTAAGAAGCGTATCCCGTTTTAAATTAACCTGCCTTCCTGCGAACATAGTACATTCAGAGCAATAGTTTAATCGCACCAGGCTCCCACAAGTTGCTATTGGCCACCTGTTGATAGCTCCGCCTTTCGATATAGTTATCAATCCGTGGTAACAGTTTGTTACTTACTTTGTATACTGCTCCATATGTGTCCTTTTTTACTTGTAAAGTACGAAGAGTATGAACTCGTTCTTCTTGGAAACGCACTGTGACTAACGGGCTTGGGCATTGTTTTAATTGACAAATTTTCCAGGAACCCTTTATTTTTTATTATAAATTCGGTAGAATTTTCGTAAAACCTTAACTTCGCAGTCCTTTGGTCGCGGTCTAACATTCCCTCAAAGTGCCCTTCCATTTTTTAATAAAACTGACTGAATCTAAGTTTTTAAAATCACCCAACTAAATACACTGGTTTAAATAAAACTAATATCACTTATTTATTTGAAAAAGCACAACACTGTTTTTAGACGACGCGACGTAAGTACTCCCGCGTCTTCGTATTGTATGTTTACAAATGACAATATAAGTTGAATTGATCGAGCCGGTACGTCTGACAGACTTAGCACGTCGTTCTGGTTGTGGTCAAATACGTTTACTGACGAAACTATTTATTTCTAGAGGGTGTGTCCACTCTATACCTAACTCCTCCTTCTTCATTCACTATCTATCCCCACACGTTGATGACTTCCGGAAAGAAGATGAAGTTTTAGTTCGTCATTCAATTATCAAAAATCGTAACTGGCACTGATTCTTAAAAGTACGCTGGTACACCGCCGCGTATCACCTCTCTCTCAAGAATTGCACGCAACATCGTGCAACTGTGACGTAATTAATTTTATTGTTTCAAACTTTTTTGCGTCAATTTACTTATATTCGCATTTTATTCATCTCTGATTTAATAATTTTTATTAAATTCAACTAGGTAATTAATCTAAAAATACCATAATGTTTTAATGTTCAACTAAATATGAACTATACTTTTTAGACTGACCTATTTATCGATTCTCAATATTGTGGACCGGTCTACATATTCTTGAACTTGGGAATGGCTCACACTAAATATTAAATAATATGGGGATTCACAATTGCACAATATTTTATTTGTTTTTTAACATTACATTAGTATTTGATTTTAGATACATTATGTCATAATCATTTATTTGTAAATAGATTTGCTGCATTAGTTAATATTAAAAAAAACCTTAATTGATAACGTGAGTAATCTCAACCCTTTTATTGATCATTCATTTTTGTATATTATCCTATCTATTGGGATGAGTAAGTTTTATTATTTAAGGAAACCTACAGTTTTTACATATAAACCACATTTTTATTATTAAATTTATTAATTTATTCGTTATTATTAGGTATTCCAATATATAAGTAGTTGGGATAGGTTATACTACACCTATTTTTGTTAGTAAAATATATATATATATATATATATATACATAAATATATATATTATAATAGTTATTAATGTTATTAGGCTGTTAAGTGATTATATTTGTCACAAATGGCGGCGGCTGGTGGATTTTGGGCACACCCATATCTGAGTTATTAAACATGGGACCCACATCAAATTTATATGAGGTTATAATGAGATTATATAGACAAGTTCTGCGCAAGCAGAATTAAAATTGAAGTTTGCGAAAAAAGTTAGTTTTCAAGTGTGCCCCCCAGCCTCCTGCCCCCCAAAATTAAGATAATTCAAATTAAAGTGATACAATATTTAATTCACTCAAGTTTATCGACAAATTTCAAATTTTATTAAAAAAATTCAAGTATTACAGATTTATACCATTTTTATTTTTTTTTTAATTTAGTAAAAGAAATAATAAAAATTTAAAATGGTACAAAACCTGTAATTCTTGAATTTTTTTAATAAAATTTAAAATAATATTGTACCACTTTAATTTGAATTATCTTAATTTGGGGGGGCAGGAAGCTGGGGGGCACACTTAAAAACTAAATTTTTTTCGCAAACTTTAATTTTAATTCTGCTTCCGCAAACTGGTCTATATAATGTCATTATAAACTCATATAAATTTGATGGAGGTCCCATGTCTAATAACTGAGATATGGGTGTGCCCAAAATTCAACAGCCGCACAAATAATTTTTGCCAACTTCAAAGTTTAAGGGGCTACAATTGACGAAGCAGAATGGCATACATTTGATCTTCAAGGCATAATTTAATTTGTTAAACAATACATAAAACTTATAAATTATAATAATTATTATTGAAAGTAGAAAATGAGGTTAGGTGGATCCGACAGTTATCTTATTTTTTGATTATGTAGTCCAAATAGGTTTTTTACAGCCTAGACGATAATAAATCACTTTAGTAGTAAGTGTTGATAATAATAAAGTTTAAATTATAGACCGCTTGAAGTTAAATTATTTTATTTAGCTTGTGCCACCATTATTTAAATATTAACATAAACATAATAATTTGGGGTAACTACTATAGAACCTTATTGAGAAAATTATGATGCTTAAAGTTGTTTGAATGGAACTGGAATTTTTCGAATGTACATAATAAGCGCCTGTCAACCACCAGTATTTGCCTTAATAATGAATAGCGCTTCAAGTTCGTACTTGTAAACAGGTAAAGGTAAAAGTTAGTTCACAGCTTCTGAATGCAGGTACATTTATTTATTTTTTTCAAAACAGTAAAATACTTCAAAGAGATAGCGCCGTTTTTCGCACTTCCTCGGTAACTGAGCTTTAACTTTGGGGGTATATAATCGTCATAAATAATAAGTTATACATATAAATCAGTGTCAAATTATAATAAAACTAGGCGTTACAAAAGGTAAGACGAACTGTCCAAATAGTTTTGTTGTGAATGGAATCTTTTCAAAGTTGAGTAAAACTTTAAAACTACGCAGGTTTTTATATTCAAACTTTGTTTCAAGCTGTGGCGCTAACCTTACAATAAAACCTGGTTGCTCACGGTATTTTCTGTTTATTATTATTGTTGTTTTTCCTGAATATTTAGTTCGCAATTGGGAATCCTAGAACAATAAAATTTTAAATACATAAAATTCGTTAAATTTTCCTTATTTATTCGCACAGGAATTCCCTGTTATTTTGTTTAAATGTAAAAGATACAGGTGTATAATTATTAGGTAATGAATAAAATGAATCATTGGGTTCACGTTCGACCTTGTGGTGTATTAGCGTATGAACTTGATTTCTCTATTTCTTTTATTATGGTGAAATACGGATACGCACTATAGGAAGATTTTATTCAAATTAACAGTTTCATAACATTGTCAAATTTTAAAATTAGGTTAATGATCCGCATTTTGCATATACGTCAGCAAACAAATTTATTTATATGAATCATCACCAAGATCTTTTTAGTATGCAACATTTTATCAATAGCTTAATTTACTGATGTAATTTTCCGAATAATTTAATTAATTCACCTTACTTTGGTTATATAATTTTTTTAATCAAAAAAATAAAAATTAAAAGCGGTTAACAAAATATCCCAACTTTAATTTTGTTTAATCGGATTGGGTGATCATAAAATAATATACAAATGTTAAAGTGTTTAAAATGAAAGTTAACAATTTTTGACAGGCTACCTAATCATGCAATAAAGACATTTATTTTATATGGCAACAAACCTTTTAAATATTGTCACCTTTTAATTATAGGTAAGTTTACCAGGAAATCGTAATAAATCAGTCACGTTTGGCTTTGGTGTGTTTTGAAGTTGTTTCAGTAAAGGGTCACTTTAAAGTCTATTTAAAAATGATTCAGTGTTATTATTCTCTGGGACTAAATTTCAGCCCCACGAAAAAATAAAAGTAGGATGTCCGACGGACTAGAGTAGTCACATCCTATAGGTTTTGAGGTCTATGAGCCAAGATCCAAGACGTGACAAGTAGTCTACTCTAGTTCGTCGGACATCCTACTTTTATTTTTTGGGCTGTTTTTTCATTCATAGCTAAATGTGTCATTATTTAATCTTCTTCACAAACCCTTTATTTGCATTACAAACATTGAATTATTAAACTGGATTATCCTTTATTGCAAAAATAAAATGCTGCACTTTTGACAATGCACTCTATAATTACTTAAGCCCTCCTGATGCATTTACACACAAAATGGAAAAACCCAAATATTTAAAAATTAACAACCAGATTATCGAGGTTATTATGCATAATATCTTATAATTATAATATTAAGCTTCCTTTAAATTCTTTTGACTTACTAGCTACTGCATAAATTATGCATTTATTCATTTATTGCCTTTATTTACCTAAGCGACAATTTTCATTTAATTTATAATTTGTGGGGTTTTTCAAAATTTAATAAAAAGGCTAAAAGCAAATATTTTGCGATTTTAATTCCGTTGATTTTTGATAATAAATTTTTATTACATATTTGCATTTAAGATTTTTTATTAAAAAGTGTCTTAATGATAAATTTTAGATATTGTGGAGAGAAAAAAATCTTAATATTGATAACATCTTTTCCTATTTTTTCCACTAAATTCCACATAAATACCACATATTATGTACATGATGTTAGAGAAAAGTTGCGCAATATAATATGGCATTCAGTGATTCTCAAAATATTACAAAATAAAAACTAAAATATGTCAAAGCTAAAAGTCGCTATATATTTTTTATTACTGGGAACTTTGAAAGTTCTATGGGTTTGTTCCTAATTAGTTGGACTCCTTGATGCTGATGTACAATTTTAATAGGGCTGACATATAAATGTGGTTGTAACATAAAATATAGTAGGCGAAAAAATACACAGTTGAATGAAAATGTAGATAAACGTGTATGTTTACATTTAAAAGTTTTGAAATATTTTGAGAACCGCTGATTTTTTTGCAATATTTAAGTGCCATATTAAAATGCATGTGATTAAACAATTTTTCTTCAATGAAACCGCTCTTGTAAGTTTAACTGTTTCCGGGATAGCAATGCCATCCCATTACAATTTGGACACCCATGATTTCTAAACGAAGGAGCATGACGTTAAAATATTACGTTACAGATATACCGTTGTAAACAAAAAACATATGTATGTAAGGGTAAGGGTAGACACATTTTATAAATTTTGAAAATTAAATAATTTATATTTATTTAAATTATAGGTAAAATAGCGCAATGATAACAAACAAAATACCCACCAGGATGATAACAAAACTTTTTGACTTCTGACAGTAGATCAGCTATTAACCAAAGCGCAAATGCGGGATCGAAAGCCTTTGTGAAGAATGGTCTGTAGACACTTCTTAATTTCGGTCGGACTTGGATTTGCAAGCACTGTATATTATATCTCTATTGACCAATGGGGCGGGGTCGGTTGGGTTGTGTTGTTGAGTTTGGGTTGGTTTCGCTCACTTTTGCCCATTTTAGTTGATTAACAGTAGATCAGCTGATAAACCAAAGCGCATGTGCGGGATCGAAAGCCTTTGTGCAATATATGGTCTGTAGACTCTAGTCCGAAATTACGTTTTAATAATAAATAAAATATTACATTTTTATTAACTAAATTACTTTTTTAGCTTGTTTTTTATTACCTAAACATTATTTTTTATGTTTTTATTTACCTGAACACTATA